ATCTGCTACAACTGGATTCGCACTTCACATTGGACGACAACGTTGTGGTCGTTGTGGGGAGGGAGGTATAAGGGGACTAAATGGGAATGAAAACATACAATAAAGACGAAATAAAACAATAACATTGAAACAAATAAGATAAAGATGTAGACTCAGTAGAAGTAAGTTCATCACTATGAAAAAAAGAGAGGAGTTAGCTCCAACGCCTGGTGGCTGCGCGCCCAAGCGGAAAGCCCGGCTGCAGGCCCCTGACGCATGTTGGGTTTGACATGAAAAGCCGTGGCTCAGTCTTTCAGGGGAAAGCGTCCAGGTGGCTTCTGTCTGGTCTCCTGGACTCTCTTCTGAGAAGCGGCCTTGTCAGCCTCTAATCAAATCAGCCCAGGCTTCGTGGGGAACACCAGCATGCCTCTGCCTCTGGGCGTTCATCTGGGCCTTGCTGTGAAAATCCTTCCGTGCGTTTGCAGATCAAGGAGCTGGCCTATTTGAAAGTGGGGTTTTGTCTCTGCGTATTATTCTAGTGCCTTAAAACCATGGCTTAGGTCCTTGGAGCACTCTCTTGCTTGCCAATGTAGAAAAAATAAAGAAAAAGGACATACCCAGCAGTGAGAGTATGGAGCCAGTGGAATACTGCTTTGGAGTTTGCCAGACATAGGTGGGCATACCTAGCTCAGAGGATGCATTTGAGGGTTAATTACTTTTAACTTTGCAGAGTTCTTGGAAAAGGAGGTGTGGGACATAGAGACTAATCAATCAAATATATACTTCATAAACATTTTAACCACCCAGCCCTAATACTTTCCCCCCACCAAAAAAACTGCTAGTTTATTTTTGTATTATGTATTTGCATCTATCAGCCTTAATACAATCTTTCTTTTATTGTTTTAGTATCAATATTTTATCAAGTCATTCATTTTTCAACAAATACAAATTATATTTGCACTGGAGCATTTCTACAGCTTAATCTCTTTAAAAGTCAAAATGGCAAAAAAAGAGAGTTATATAGTACCAATTTATCAAAAGAAAATAAAATTCAGATGACTTTCATTCCATTTTCAAATAAGGTATGAAATATCAGGGCATGGTTTATGTTTTATACATGTTGACTTTAGATTAAAATGAAATTTTCATAACACTCTTTAAAATACAATCCAATTTAATTTCCAATGCCTTTGTTTTCAAGTTCCTGGATGGAACTTTTGAAAAACCTCACAGTGCAGTAATAACCATAAAACCACCTTCCTAAGGAAATGCTACCCCACTTGGAAATAATATCTTTATAGTCTGTGTGGAAATAACATGAATACAGAATCCTTAGCAGGCGATTACACTGATTGAGTTTGTGGTTTCTCTCCTGGTGTGTCAATAATGAGGATGCGTTCTGAATGGGGAAGCGGGTTGGATAAAGCAGGCACAAATCTACTATTTTAGAAAGTTGAGCCCCCAAAGTTTGAGGAGTCTTCATGCCATATGGCTAATGGCAGCTTAAAATCCCCAGGTCTTCTTTCCAATAACCTCCACGTCCTTGTTGGATTCTTCCATTCATGGGTAATTCTTAGCCTTCTGCTAACACCGGGCCAGTTTCTCAGGGACAGCCAAGACATTTCACTCTGACGAGGCCAAGTCCCTAGCAACTCACGTGTATACAAAATGGGTTAAATGCCAGGTAACTATGCTAAGAACTTTTATGCACATTATCTCTCTTACTTTTCATGAGAACTCTCTAAGCTGGATTCTGTTAATGCACCCATTTTGCAGAAGAGAAACTGAAAACCACAGAGGTCAGCTAACTTGTTCAAGGTCACACATACAAGAAAGTGGTCAAACCAGAAATGGAAGCAAAATCTAATTTGAAAGCCCATGCATGAAGCTACCTCACTAGACTGCCTGCCTCTCCACACAGACAAGAGAGAGCCAGACAGGACAGCAACCCCATGGTATTTCAAAACAAGCAAATTTCCACGTCTTTCTAAAGGATAGTTACATGAAAACAATGGCAACATGAAGTGTTTATGAAATATGAGTTTAAATTTTGTGAATGCAAATCGTAAGAACTCAGTACTTTAATGTCCAGGGCTGATCAAGTGATTTTGCACAAATACACACATCCTTTCTGCAAACAAAATATCAAACAAGGTATAAGAAACTTCCATAAATCATTTTTGCACCAGTATGAGCTACTGTTTGGTAAACCCTGCTGAGAAATTGTTGACAACTAGAGCTGGCCCTGGAGACCCCAAGTACTTCTCGGTTGTATGAGAGATGAGATAGATGTTCTTGTGGCCGACAGGATATTTATTCCAGAGGCGACTGTTATGAAGTACATTTTGCCTCTTCAGCTGCTATAAACTTGTGATGGAGAGTGGGCGGAGAGGACAACCTGTAATTCAGGGTGGTTTGGAAGCTGGTTGCCCAGGAAACTGGGATGAGCAGCATACTGCCCGCCCAGACCAACTGTCAACAAGAGAGGGGAGTGCTGTTGTGATCTGCGCTGCTTTCCAAGTACAAATTTTGTGACTCATGAGGAGTCTGATTAGGGCCCTGGGCCCCTGATGGGCAGCGCAGGCCAAAGGTGCCCAAAGGTGACACAGGGACGCGGGAAATTTTCCGTAAACATTGTGCTGACAATACACAGGGGGCGGGGGAGAGGTGGATAATGGCGTACTTAAAATGAGCTTGTAAGAGGATAAGGTGGTCGCAGATGAATATTTCACATAACGTAACGTGCAGGCAATTTCTGATCATAACTGGTCTACAGTTTAAGTTTACTGCAGCAAAAGTTACTTTTTCCACATAAAACTTTATTTGCCATCATCCCTTATTCCCTACTCTCCTGCTACTTACATCAGAAGCTTTGGTTTATAGCAAAGTACTATAGTCATCTTCAAGGGTGGTGCTTGGAAATTCACAAACCTTTGATGAGAATAGTACCTAATTTCCCAACACTTTCCAAATATGCACACTTAGTTTTCTTTTTAAATGTATAATACATGGACACATACACCTTCGTTGGTGTGTAGATATGTGTACATATATATTTAAGTCCAATCGAGTGAAATTGCTTGTTGCAGACCACACTGGGCCTACAAAAATGGCAATTTTATATACTTCAATTTACAAATAAATAAGAGAGATGATAGAATACATTTTCTGGTGCAGTATTTTCTTGTTTTTTTTACCCTCCCTTCCCTTTTCCACCTTACCCTACGCCATGCCAGTCTACCTGACTGACCCTTCTTAGGTCTGCTCTCTCTGCCCCGGCCTGCACACGCAGCTCACGTCAACAACCACGTCTGTGTCTCCACACTCCCGAAATCACAAACAGACATAAATATTCCCGTGCATCCACACACATCTGAGTGACAAAGCTCTTCATGTGAAACTGCAAACTTCAGGTCATTTGTTTCCAGTTGATATTTACAGCCGAATAGTCTCTTTGTTGCATTTGAATAATGCTTCTTTGCACTTATCTTTAGTGGATTTCAACCCAGTTTAAGTAGTTTCCTCACTTTTTGACATTCTTTCACTTGAATTTTATTTCTCAGTTCTGTGCTGGAAATTACTCACAAATGATTCAAGCTGTAACACGCGACCGCGTGACGCATGGATGGATTAGTAATTCTTTTCTGGTTTCCTACTTTTGTCTCCCCAGAATAAGGTATTATGTTGCAAAGTACATAAGAAGAAATTCGGTTTTTTTTTTTCATACTGCTAACAGAAGACCCAGAATTTCTCCTGTGGGGAAAACGACCTCCCTGAGCCATTTCTCTGGTCTCCATGTGTCAGAGCAAAGGTAACAATCACTCAGGCAATCGGCTCATACGAAATGACCGTAGAATCAACACTCTAGCGTGTGGAACCTCACACAGGAGTACCGCTTCCCCAGCAGATGTGATGGGAGACCTGCGTGCTCGCTCTCAGCCAAAGACGACTTCCCCTCCTCACGGCCTGCTGCAATTGCCACTAAATTCCCTTCTCCCTCTGGGGACAGTATTTATTTTACATTGAGTTTACCGGGTGGTTGAGGTCTGCTCATCAAGATGGACAGACTGTCAGGATGCGGGGCCACAGGGCTGTTCTGGCCGACCCTGAGGTTTCTCACTAGGAAGTGGGTGTTGACGGAGGGAGAAGGGACCGAGGACTCAATGGTCAGGTTTACGCCCTTTTCCTCTTGGCCCCGCCCACCCCTGGAAGCATCTGTCAAGACCTGGGACATGCGTTGGCCCCCACACAAGGACCTGCCCTTTGACTAGGCTGTTTCCCCGTGGGCTGTCTATCTGTTCTTATCCGGAAAAGGAAGTTCCTTTGCAATGAAATCCAAAGTAAATTCCTAGGAGGCTGTGGTTGAAGATTTCAAGATCATTTAAAAAAAACTCCATACGTAAGAGTTGTGATTTTGGTGTGCTTGACAGGGTTTCCTTGGCTGAGGCTTTTATCCTGAGCACAGCGTGCCCAGGCCGGGGAGAACCCATATCATTCTGGTGCCTGCATGCTTGAGGGTTTTTATTTAGTTAGAAGCTGAGTCTGCCCTCCTTCTGCCTGTGAAAATGGTTTCAAAGCTGCCGCACCAGAAACTGTTTCAGACCGCAGACTTCAGTAACTAATGACCCGTGTCCTCTGTACAGCAGCGAAATCCCAAAATGGTCCTAGGAGAAGGGAAGTAAATCCTGACAGCTGCTTAGAGGTCATCTTAGAACTACATGTCAGGAGAAATGCTTTTGGAAGGAGGGAGGGAGGAAGGGAGGGAGACAGACAGACCCCCAAAAGGAAAGGGAAATAAAATGAAAAAAAAAAAGAGATTATTGTACAGAAGGGTAGCTGTGTGCAGATCACCCAGCTGTGCTCTAAAGACCAAACCTCGACATCAGCAATTAGCGGGAGGAAGCCCCGAGCTCCTCCACCTCTGAGAAAGCACAATGGAATCAGAGGGCCTGGGAAGCACGCACTCACACTGCAGGGGAGCCTGCCTGCAAGTCTCTCGAGGAAAGGGGTTCTGTGGGTGAGAGGAGGAGGCCAGGTGACACTCCGAGGAGGCTGCAATTGTAGCACATCTACCGAGCACACTGATGTAGGAGGCTTGCTATACCAAGTCCCAGAAGCCTTTTCAATTTTTTTTTACCTTTGGAAAGTATGTGAATCACGGTAATGCTGCTTGGCTCCCAAAAGTGGACAGTGAGTTAAAAACAGTAGCAGCAACAACAGTAACGAGAAAACCTACGGCAGCAGCCAGAGCTCTCATCCCGGCCACCATGGAGTTTCTCGAGAGAACTTATCTTGTGAATGACAAAGCCACCAGGATGTATGCCTTCACCCTGGACAGGTAACAGATGTGTGTTTCTGCCTCACAGTTTTCTGTCTTCAGTAGTCAATAAATCCTCAGGTCCTCCAGCTTCAAAATTACAAACTTTTGCTGTGCAACTTTGGGCATTTTGTGAAATTTCACAAACTGTTGGCTGACTTGTATAATTCATATCCTGAAACGTGCAATACTCTATATAGTTTATTTGATTCATAAATATACTAACAGCATGAAGGACACATTTCATGAGTGTAGTTTGATCTGTAGATTTTCTTCCAGAAAATAGACACATACAATCTAACGTGTTTACCTTTCTTGTCCTCAATTATTCTTATTTTTAATATAGATAGTAAATTTTATTAAATTCTATTGGAAAGAATTAAGGCTTTTCAACTATGTGATGAAATTGTGGCTACATTGACTTCAAAATTATTTGCTGTTTTCTTAATCATATACTACCATGATCAACTCTGCACACCTGTAATAAAAATAGCTGAGTTTAATGTTCTGCATGGTTCTGGTGCCTTCATTCCCCCTTATTTAGAAGTTATTGATTGAGCACGCTGGGATATGTGATGGAGAAGAAAAGATTCCTGGTTCCAGATCTCTGTTCCCTGGAAACTGTGAGTGTGATGTGAAATACATAGAAGGAGAAGTCGATGACAAAAACAGTCTGTGTGTCATTTTGGGGATATTCAATGAGAGTATCCGGAGGAAACCTAGGTCACAGCTGGACTGTGGCAGCCAGCCAAAGCTTTCAGGCAGTGATAGACAGAGAACTGAGAAGTAAAGGGGAATTAGAGTAAGGTTAGAGAGACCTTCCATAGGAAGAAGGGCTCAGACAGGCTTTTCAGGTGGGGATGTTGCCTGGCAAAGTCAGAGACCTGTGAGAATCTGTAAGAGTCTGGTGTGTTCGGGGAATTCAGTCCAAGCAGGCAGCGAAGAGAAACATAACACACAGATGAATGAATGAAAATCTGAAACAAACTCATGTTAGGAGCAGAGTTTAAGAAAATAATTACCCCCTAATAACATGTGAAATGTTTGTTTCATGGAACCAAACTGATATTCTGAAGAGTAGCAGCAGCATTGTGTTTGATAGAATGAAATGTCTGCACAATAGCAAAGGAAAACTTTCTTTTAGGATATTTACAACTTTGCTCTGAAAATGTATGACAAAGAATGGAGCACATCTAGTATCTCACCTTATAAGAATTACTTTTCTTAGAAATCAATATTGGATGTGATGTATTGACATCATAAACAATAAAGCCTCGTGTTAGGTCTGGCGGAATTTTTGTACAACGAATTGTTAACAGTATGGACACTATTAACAGAGCATGTCTACATTATTGAAATAACAGTATTTCCCTTCTCATTACAATGGACCACTAGCATTGCGTTACGCACATAAAACTGAGGGCTTATAATTACAGGGTCCCATTTGCCTCATAAATGGGGTGAGTTTGCAGGTCATGGTGATGATCAAAACTGTCAAACTTGTTTTTATATTCTTTTCAAATAAAGACAATTAAACCTGGGACAGATCATTTACCTTGATCCCCTCTTTTCCCAGTTAGAAACCTGTTTCTCCCTTTTTTAAACTTTTGATGCCGCAGTAAATTTCTTTGCTCTGGTCTACTCTTCCTGCTCTCCAGAGCCTCAGACGTATTAGAATGCGTGGGAATCTATGTTGATATATTCATTGGCAGCAAATGTACATTTAATTTTTGAAGCTTCAATCTCAGCTTGAAGTATAGCAATATTGGCTGAACTGAAGTCTCCAGGGAAGCCATATTTAAAACTCAAAATTGGCCAGGGTCCTTGCAGTTTCTCCTTGTGGCATTGCCCACAGGCCTTGGTCTGCCTTCTAAACTGCTCCAGGACATGTTCTCTCTCCTGGTCATTTACCACCTGGTTTTCTCTGGCCACAAGATTCATGAAAAACATAAAGTAAAGCCTCTTGCGACCACAGTAGACCAGTGGTCATGTAAACAGTGCCAGAACAATTGGTGAGCCTGTCTTCCTTGTGCTGCCTGCTCAGCACAGGCAAAGGGGGAACCTCTCCTATGCTTTCCTATCAGTTCTCAGGTTCCCGAGTGAGGACCGTTGGCGACCCACACTACTACATTACATGGTTGTTTATTACCAGGGTATGTATCACATTACAAAAGCAAAAATGTATAGCTATAAATACATTATTTGTGCCCCTTGCCAAATGGTTCTTATTCCAGTAGGAAGATTATTTGGAACCGCTCAAAATCCTGAGTGCTTTTAACATCATCGGTACAATCATTCTGAAGTCAATCTGGAAATATACATCAAAGCCCTTAAAAATGTAGATACTCTTTGACCAAACAATTTCCCTTCTAGAACCACAGTTTAAGGAGATAATAATATATCAAGCAAAGATTAACTATAAAAATTGAATCACAGTGGTGATTCAATTACTTACTGAGCAAATAATTAGAAAAAAATGAATTCTCTAATAATAGGAAATCACTTAAGTATGTTGTGACATATCTATATTAAATGTAGTGATCTCTGAATGTTAAAATAATGACATGGAATGTTTAATAAGCTGAGAAACTGTTAACAATATACACAGCTAAGAATCAGGTCCCATAGCTCTATCTTTGGTAGGATACACTACGGTGACACTTCAGTGGATGTCATCCACCATCTGTTCCAGCCCATCCCCGCTGAGTTACAGCCATGTGATTTAGGCAGCATTTACCCCATTCTTGGTGGTAGGAGTCAGCATGGCTGGGTTTAGCCAGTCTTCTGACTGGAACAAGGTCTGAACCAATCAGCCCATTTGTATTCCTCTGGCTATAGTGTTGGTTTCCATTTGGCCAAATCAGCATGCAACTCAGGACTTGTTTAGCAGTTGGAAATGGGGACACTCTCACTTCCTGTATGAGAAACAGCAAGCACGTAGCCCTGACTCCCTTGGGCAAACACCCATGACCATGAGGAAAACCAGCCTGAGACAGAAGCACAGTGAGGACTACAAAGCAATGGATCTGGAGTCCTGGCAAATCAGCCGGAAGCCCAATACTCCCAGACATTTTCAGTTGCACAACCATAATCCCCATTTATTCATTAATCTAGCCAAAGCTTTGTCTTCTGTACTTGCAGTCAAAAACACCCTAACTAACATGGTCTCTAATTATGTATAAAAATGTCTGTTTATATATTACAAAGCCTAACAACAACATGTCTCTTCCAGGTAAGCGTATCAGTGATTTTTCCCTCTGCTTTGTGCTTTTCTGTAATTTCAGATTTTCTAGAATGAATATATTAGTTTATTTAGAAAAAATAAATGTAATGATAATTAGAGTCATAATAAAAAATGATCATCTAAGCTGAAGCCTGCAGACCTTTAACTTCAGATGGTGATAAGAAAAAGGAAATAGCTCTTCAACTGGAAGCTTATTTATTTCTGTTTTTACACATTTGAAAGCGATAAATACAAAGTTCTTAATTCTAAGAATCTTATTAATGCCTTCTAATAAGTTTATTTGAAAAAATGTAAATCTGATTAGCTCAAGACCAATGTTAAGGTTTGCATCAGTGAGACCGGGGTTAGACGCGCTGTGTTCAGTAGGGGAGCGAAGTGGGCTGGCCTTGGGAGCCTAGTTTGACATTGGCTGGTTGTTGACCTCAGGCAATTACTTAACCTCTCTGAACCTTAATTACTTCAACTACGAAACCGTGAGGTTGGACTAAGTGTTACCTACAACCTTTCCATCTGTGCAATGCTATAACTCTATAAACAGCTCTAAGTAGAGATTTCTGTCTGAGCAGAACTGATGTGCAGTGCTTGCTATGGGAAGCATCAGTTAAGTTTCAATGTCCATGATCACTTTCATAGATTGAGAGAGACTGTGTGCAACGCTATGTTAAGAAGGTTTCTGAGGGCCCATATGGACTTAGCAGGAAAAGGTGCTGTGATCTATTATCAATGCTGTCGTGGAGAAGAAAGTGACAGTGATGGCATGCAATGGTGGGTCTCTGAGTCATCAGGCTGGCTCATACACACATGTCCAACATTGTCCCCAGCCCCCTTTTTAACTTGTGGGATGGCGTCCAATATCTTTTCAAAATGAAGTAACTGGGAAGGAAATGCATCACAGGGTATCTGCTTCCTTTCCCCTGTTCCTTTGCTATCTATTAATTACTGGTGGTAGAGACCGAATAGAGTTTGACTGAATAAAAGCAAAACATTTAGTAGTTGAGACTTCAGATGGAAATTTCTTGCTCATTCCTTACACTTGACATTTCTTGTGGAAGGAGCTGTGAATTACAACTTCCTAGTTAGGTAGCCAATGCCCCGAGAGTGGTTCAGAGAATGGGTAGGGCTATCCATGATGTTCGCAACCGTGTTCATTTCTTGCTTCTGTCAAACTCAACCACAGCGCAGATCTCCAGCAGAAACCTGTGAGTGAAGATCAACATGTGGGAGAGAAGCCACAGGAGCTGGAGTCTGGAGCCATCGATCACTGTCACGGTGACGCCAAGGCTGCAGATAACAGGGCAAACGAGCAGGTGTATGCCAAGTGGAAACTCTGCGCTGCTTCGGGAATATGCTTTGTTTTCATGATTGCAGAGGTCGTGGGTGAGTATTTTCCCAGAAGACTGCTCTGATTAAACAGGCAAACCTACATCCTTACAGGAGGGCTACCTAGGTTCTCCTTTTAAAGTACGCGTTAATGGTTTCTGTAAGCATGAAGTAACAATGTGCTCATGGTAGATAAGTTGGAAAATAGAAGGAAACAAAATAAAAACGTCACTGTCCCACATTTGAGTGATAACCTCCAATAGAATTATGAAGTATTTCTGTACAATACTTTTTCTATTCATAGCTCAGTGTTTTTCAACATAACTGAGAGCATACTGAATGCTTCTGACCATGCTATCAAATATTCTTTGAAAACATTTTTATGCCTGAACAATAGGCACTCCACCGTGCTTTACATAACATCTCTATTGTTAGACATTTAGGGATTTTTTTTTTCCCTGCTTAGGGACAATGCTGCAATAAAAAATCTTGAATAAAACTCTGCCTGCCTTTCTGTTAATCCCTTCAAAAAGAGTCCTAAAAGTGGAAATAATTGGTTGAAGGACAAATATTTTTATTACTTCTTGATGCATACTGCCAAACTGCCATCCAGAAAGCTTAAAACAATTCATGTGTCTTCCAGGTTTACATGAGAATAATTTCTCTCCAATCTTTACCAGAACTTATTTTAATCTTTAAAAAAAAATTTAATGTATAAGTGAATAGCTTTATTTTAACATTCTTTACTGCTAGAATATTTTTGCATGCTTATTAGTGATCTGTAATTCTCTGTAAATGCATGAACTGCTTGCCTCTCAGTGTCTGTCTTTTAGATAATTTGTAATTCTCTATATTGATCTGTGGGAGCTCTTTATATATTAGGATATTAAAATCTAGATAGATTTATTGGAAATACTTTTCCAGATTGTTGTTCACTTTTTAATTTTTGCTTAATTTTTTATTTGACTTAGAGAAGGTTTAAAGTTTATATACATCATTGTATTGAAGATTTTATTTTTAGCTGAGTTTTTCACCACTCTTTTGCTGTTGTAGTACTTAGTAAGCTTTCCCCAGCTCCTGAAAAGATAAATATCGTTGTGTTGTTGTTCAGGTTTTTACTGTTAGTTTTAAATCAGTGTGAAATTAGATATGTGCTAAGGATGGGAAATCCTTTTCTAAACAGCCAACAAAGTTTTCAGTATAATTTACGGAATAATAATTATTTTCTTCATTGATTTTTTATTTTTTTAATCATTTATCAAATTTTTATAAACAATATGGTTTGGTTCTTTTGTGGTCCATGTTGCTGGTCTCTATCAGGAGTAACATATTTAACTAACTTAAACTTATGCATTATAATATCTCTTGTTCTTTCCTTATTATCCTTTGCTTAATGGAAAAAAGTTATTTCAATTTATTATTTTAATTAAACATGAGAATCATTTTGTTCAGTTTCCTCCAAAATCTAATTATGATTTTATTGGTATATAAATTAATTTGGGAATACAAATCTCTTTAAAATATTGTTTTTCCACCACGAACATTGTGTTTCTTCATTTATCCAAATACTCTATATCTCTAACCAAAGTTTTGTGGTTTTTCATTTGTTTATTTGTTTTAACACAGGGACAACCTATTTCTTGCTAGAGCTATTTATAGTTATTTGATGTGCTTGGTTTATTGTTTCTGGAGGTGAGTGGAGGTCTTCTTTTTCTCCTGTACTGTTCTCTGGATGGTTAGTTTTTATTCTGCAAAGTGTTCATTTTGTGTAATCATTTTGTACTCAACTGTGTACATATTTGAAATATCATTCTAAATGCATCTCAGTCCATTTTCCTTGTTCCTCTACCACCCATCCCCCCCACCACCTCATCTCTGGACATAACGCTTTCTTGTGCAAAAACCATATTTTTCCTTGTTTTCAATAGTTATACCTCTTTTGTAAAATCTTAGGTTCAACTATTTCACTGTTAAATGTTTTCTGAGGGGTTAAGTATTTTCATTGTGTTAATGAAGTATTCTTCTTGTCCTAGTTTTTTTTTTTAATGATTAACCAATAATCAAGGGTGAGTGTTGACTTTTATCTAATACCATTTCTTTTAAATTTATTCTGATAAAAACAATTTCACCCATTGTGGACGTGTATTATATTCATCAATTTCCTATTATAGTATGATCTTTGTATTTCTGGCATTATGGTGTTAATAACTAATATTTATTTAATGCTTACTACGAGCCATGAACTGTGATGAGTGCTTTCTATTGCATTACCTTGCTTAGTCCTGTCAAAACCCCTGAGAGGTAGGTCCTATGATGAAGTGCATTTTATAGACGAGCTATCTGAAGCACGAGAGTAAATTGCTTTACTTGAGTCATTTCTGCAGATTGGCAGGCAGCCTGAATTTCAGGACTCAGCTCTCTGGCCCTCGCATTGGTGCCTCTCAAATCAACTGTGACGAAGCATCCTGTCAAAGCACTGCTTAATCTGAATCACTCATCTTCATTAGGATTTTTATACCTTTATTGATCATGGAAATTTAACTACCGTTTTCTGTTTTGGAGCTATTTTTCTAAGATTTTGAATCAGTTATGCATATACAAATAAAAAGTTTAATTTTAGTAATACCCTTTTTAAAAAAACTGAAAGAGTATATACAACACTGTAATTATCTCCTCATTTTTAAGAACTTCCTGATAAACTGGCCTGAAGACATTCTTGGAAATAATTCTTTGGTATATTTTTTAGTTTACTCATTCACTGACATTCTCAAAATTTGTACTTCTTGAGTAAACTGTGGTCATTTATGTTTTTCCAATTTATGTTTTTCCATTTATCTCATTGAAATTTTCAATTCATTATCATGCAGTGGAATGTGATAGTGTCATACTGACAAAATTTATTAAAGGCTGAAATAATTTTAGGACTGTATAAGTGTAACTACTCCTTAACTGTTAAGGAGTTGAAATTACATTCAGCTCTTTGAAAGCAACTGCAAGGCTGATATGGCCCCAGGAGAAAATGAATTTGACACCCCTGTATCTAATTCCTTTCTTATTTTAATATTGTTTATATAGTTTATCTTCTTTTCCTCGATTTAACTGGGTAGATGTCTATTTTACTGATATATTATTTGTATACATTTTCTTGACTATATTATTGTTTTAGTTTCTCTTTTATTTTTTTAAAACATAATTTTGGCTTTAAAAACCTTTTTCACTTCTTCCACCTTTGGTCAGGGTTGTTTCGTCCCTCCCTCTCTCCTTCCTTCCTTCCTTCCTTCCTTCCTTCCTTCCTCCCTCCCTCCCTTCCTCCCTCCCTTCCTCCCTCCCTCCCTCCCTTCCTCCCTCCCTCTTTTCCTCCCTTCTTCCCTCCTTCCCTCCCTTTTTTTCTTTTCAGAGAGAAGTGGAGGGAGGTAGAAAGAGAGGGAGAGAAACTTTGATGTGAGAAAGAGAGACATCGATCAGTTGCCTCTTGTACACACCCTGACCAGGGGCAAACCTGAAACCCAGTCATGTGTCCTGATGGGGAATCAAACCAGTGACTTTTCCCTTGGCAGGGTGATGCCCAGCTGAGCCACACCACTCAGGGCAGGGTTGTGTTCTTATGGTACATTTTAATATCTTAAATTATATTCTTATTTGTTTATTTTTACTCTTTCTTTAAATATATTTTATTGATTATGCTATTATAGTTGACCCAATTTTCCCCCCTTTGCCCCCCTCCACTTATCCTCATTTTTTTCTATTCTTTTTTTCTTGCTGTTCTGATTGAACTTTTTCTTCCTTATGTCCTCCATTCCCTGGCAATCCCCCCCTTAGTTCGTGTCCCTGAGTTATGCATATATGTTCTTTGGGTACTCCATTTCCTATACTGTTCTTAACATCCTCCTGTCTATTCTGTAGCTAGCATTTGTACTTCTTCACCCCTGCACCTTTCCTCCCACTCTCCCGCTCCCCGCTCCAAAATGATAACCCTGCAAATGATCTCCATATCTATGATTCCTTTTCTGTTCTGCTTGTTTGCTTACTTTGATTTTTACTTTCAGTTGTTGATAGTTGTGAATTTGTTGCCATTTTAATGTTCATAGTTTTGGTTTTCTTTTTCTTAAATAATTCCCTTTAGATTTCATATAATAATGGTTTGGTGATGATGAACTCCTTTAGCTTTACCTTGTCTGGGAAGCACTTTATCTGCCCTTCAATTCTAAATGATAGCTTTGCTGGACAGAATAATCTAGGTTGTACATCCTTGCTTTTCACCACTTTGAATAATTCTTGCCAGTCCCTCCTTGCCTGCAGTTTCTTTTGAGAAAGTAGCTGATAGTCTTGTGGGCACTCCTTTGCAGGTAACTCTCTGCTTTTCTCTTGCTGCTTTTAAGATTCTCTTTATCTTCAACCTTTGGCATTTTAATTATGACATGTCTTGGTGTGGTCCTCTTTCTTTCCATCTTGTTTCGGATTCTCTGTGCTTCCTGGACTTGTATGTCTATTTCCTCCACCAAATTAGGAAAGTTTTCTTTCATTATTTTTCAAGTAAGTTTTCAATTTCTTGCTCTTTCTTTTTTCTTCTGGCATCCTTATGATTAAAATGTTGGTATGTCTGAAGTTGTCCCAGAGGCTCTTTAGCCTATCTATCCTCATTTTTTGGATTCTTTTTTTTTCTTGCTGTTCTGATTGAATGTTTTTTTCTTCCTTATGTTCCAAACCATTGATTTGACTCTTGGCATCATCCATTCCAATGTTGGTTCCCAGTAATTTTTTTAAAATTTCACTTGGTGTAATCTTTAAGAGAAGACTCCTGAGAATCCCACAGTTTCTTCTGCCTCCCCAATCTACACTGGTTTTGTATAGCCAGAAGTTATGGGGGTTTATTTTCCTGGTGCTGGAACCCTGGGCTGGGTGGCCTGGTACAGTGCTGGAATCCTTTGCTCCTAAGGCATCCCTCCCATTTTTTATCCACCACATGTGGGTTTAGGACCACCTCTTCCACATCCCCACGTCTCTGCCCCTCTCTGCATCTCAGCCCCTTCTACCCTCCTGGATGAATATGACTTCTT